ACGATAAATATTTTTCAAAACATGAAGTATGAATCAAACTCATTTTTGAATCGAAACTGAGATACCGATGCAAGTTCTTCCCTTCTGAATCAGATAGATTCATATCTGAAAGAGGCTGACAATAAGTTCTTCCAAAATTGACTCTTTGTTTCTCTGTTAGAGGTGTTGCAGAAATGTCTGCGATCGAGTAAATAACTATATGAATGAATAGCTCGGATCGAATTGAAAAACAGAAAGATTTGTACAAGTTATATGTTTTATTACTACTTTGTGAAAAATCTTTAGGTACGAATATGTTAGATACCTATGAGGTGAAATAGTCTCTCTCTCCAAAAAAAAATTATTTTTTTTTATGAACGCACGAAGAAAATATTTTGTTGCGAATGAACAAGGTAGTGAGGAATTGTCCATATGTAAGATCATAATTATTGATATGAGTCATTTCCTTATATATATATATCAATATCTATAATTGTCTTTTTATTTCACCTGGTATTTAATTTATATTTATGTAAATTTAGCCAGTCCGACTTTGTTGGTTCGAACCTAAATGGAGTCAGAATTCTAATCCCGTCCGATGAATTGATCGCCTTTTGTGGCACCAATCTCGATGTGTCTTTCCCAAATTAAAAGGTTATCTCTTGATCTCAAGTCAACCTTTCAAAAACAAGAGTTTGACCTCATTAATCATGCTCTGTTCACCTTTTATAGTCGATCCTCTCATCGTTAGATTCATCAAGCTGTATGTGTTTTGCTCTAATGTTCTTCAAACTGTTGCAAATAATTCTACCATCAGCTGTCAAACACATACATAGAAAAATAAATCTACTAGTGCTTCTTGTTATTGTTCTCTGCGAAGCTCATATACCTTTCGGATAAGCTTATACTCTTTCCAAATAGTGATGCATATCTATGATCTTGGCTTGCTGTCTCACAAGTTCTTTGACTTGGTAGTCTCTCGATACAAAGATTTTCTTGAATTGCTCAAATGTTGATCTTAATATCAACAACTAGAAATCAACTCAGCATATGATAGAAAACTGCTAAAACTATGAGAATTCAATCATATCTTTAATAATAACGCGATTGTGTGAGCATTTCTCCCTTTTACAAGCAAGATATATGTTCAAAGTCTGCAAATTTTGCAGCTAATTTCTCGAGAGAGACAACAGGACATGATTCATATCAGAGTAGGTAGAAGAAGGCTTTCTTCTTCTTCTTCTTATTCTCTTGTTATTTTCCTTCACGTTTGATCAGGAAAACACAGCCTCTCTGATTTGTTCACCTTCCTTAAAAGACTATAATGACATGATCTAATCCTCATATCACTACATAAATTACTTGCATCCGTCGATCCTAATTCGCACCAGTAATGCATGCGAGGAAGCGGCTGCTCCCAAACCTGGTCTCCTTCACCAAACGGCCATGACTGCCAGCCTTGTCCGGCGAGAAAGGCGGCTCCGAGAAATCCTCCGATGAGTACTGCCTCCTGTGGCCATTCTGGTCTTCATGGAAGCTGCCAAGCTTGATCGGTGTTGGCCGCAGGAACTTGTTGGTGTTGGGGATGCCAAACCACTGCGAAGCACCAGTCGACATCGAGCGGTAGTATCTGGGAGCCTTTCTTCTCTTTATTGCTCTGTAGATGTATGGGATCAATCCTTCCATTCTTTCTTGTGTTTGAAGCTCTTTGGTCTGTGGAAATGGAAGCTTTACTAAACCTCTCTTATAAGAAAGATGAGCAACGTTGTGGAGTTCCATCTCTACGAAGGTTCTTGTGACTTTGGTTCGTGGATGACTCGTGGATCATCATGGAAGGAGAATCTTATCTTGGCTGGCAATACATTCATGTGGACAAGAACAAAAAGTTCGAATAAGATAAAGATCTTCCTGTCACCCACTGTTAGTAGATATTAAGAATAAAGATGACAGAATGCGCCAGTCAACCACTTGTCATATATAATCATACTTATCAAAACTGGATTAGGCTTGCGTATTTGGTAGAAAAAATATTTAAAATATTATCAGAAGAAACAGAAATTTTAAGGATTGAGTTGCAGTTTTGATCTTTCTTTTTTCTTTATACTCTAAAATAAAAATATACAATCATACAAAGAGATGTTTTTGGACACTATCTACACTGCATGACCTGTTGTATTCATGTTATAGCTTTTAATCTTGTCATGTTTGAAGTTGACTTGTCACTTTCAAGACAGTTCTCTTCAGCATCATTGCTTTGTAGAAATAAGTGTCTCCATGGGTTGGTGGGTCAAGAAATGGAGCCTTCAGAGGATGGCAGTCTAAGTTGGCTCCTTTGTGGAGCAAAGCTGTTTGCTTCTGCAACACTTGTGGATGAACAGTTCTTGGTCAACTAATCTTACCTTCCAGGAAGGTGCATATGGGGGCACTTTTAACTGACCTTCATTGATCACAATCTCTGTTTCTTCATATTCAATCATCTAAAGTATTGCCATGCCTCACATTTTGAACACTTCCACTTGCCACTACTTTATCTTATCTTTTTCTACATGAATGTGCCACCCAACAATTTATGAAATAGTGTGGTGCAAAAAGTTCTAAACCTTTCTGATGATTTTCCTACATTCAGAGCTGAAAGTGAACATAGCAGACAAAAAGATTAATCTTTCGAGGAGATTTGAGGGTCATTAAAAATGGCCAAAACAGAAGCCAAGAGGGCCACATCCATCTTCATTTGATCAAGGAATAAAAAACCATCACTGTGTTTTTGCTTAGCCTACTTGCATCTTCATCTCCAGGTTCAATAGAGAGACAAACAAATGCTCTTTCTTGGTCCCAAGCAAGTTCTACCTGAAGAAACACCTTGAAATAATGTCCAAATCTCTTGACTAAATCGAATTCTCTGCCTTCATGATCCCATGTAACAAGCCTCTGAGGAAACCTGTGATCCTTGCAGCTTAGATTGCCTTGTTGCTTTTGGTTGGAGACATTAGTAAAGCCAGTTTGCAGTATGAATTCAACAAACATGACTTCCTTTTCATGATTTATATGATTTACGATTGCCTCGTTTTGACATCAACACTCTATGCATTGGATTCTTTTTCCTTCCTTTTTCTGTAGGCTTTGGTTGGAAATTTCAAACTGGAAGTAGCAGTTTCGAAGGCCCTATCATGCTGAAGTCATCTGTTGGACTCAGAGTTGCTCCAAATCCTGTTTGTTGAAACGACGAGGTAACCTAAGAGATGCCTAATGTTGATGCATTAGCAAATACACAGAATAAACACCATTAAGCTCAATAATCTAATGAAGAAGACTGCCAACATGGAACTCTGGAAGGATCAAATAAACATGTATGTTCTTAGTTTCATGGGCAAATTTAAACTTCCCGCAGGAATGGCTGATGGTTTTGCCATTTCCTGTGGATGTTGCTGGTTTTTCTCCCAAGGGAGATGTATGTATGTTCATTTCCTGTCTTCACTACAGTGGGGTGCAAATTATGGGCAGAGACTTACTGACCAACTTCCTATGGATTTCAATTCTTTGGTCTTTGCCCCTGTAGAACTTGGGATGCATTGTTACCATGATCTGGTGGTATTGATATATATTCTTTGTGAATGTTATGCATGTTTCAGAAGAAACAGGACACTGCACACTGACATAAGAGGTTGAGATCTTTCAGAGCTCACACTGCACATTGGCATGTGAAGGTGGAAGAAAGAGGACTTTGCTGGATCAGACAAAGTGTATCCAAAAATCTGTATTAATTCAGAAAAAAAGGTGAGGAATGATGCCACAATCAATCCACAAAACAATGACTCTTTTTAATTATGTTCTTTTTATGATTTCAGATTGCAAACCATTTTTTATAGTTTCAGGCAACTCCATCCACTTCCTGCTCTCAGAGTATTTCAAATGAAAAATCAACAAGCAGTGGCAAGAAGGAGATCATATTTCAAGTGAAAATATGTGCTAAAATCAGTTAAAATAAAAAATACAACGTAAAGTCATAAATGATATAGTTTGAAATTATGGGAGTTTATCATTTATATTTTTTAACACATATTTTCATCATATTTTATACCAAAAAAGATGTTGACAGAAATTAAAATTTTTCATAAAAACCTCAATATGTTTAAATTAATAAAAGTACATTGTTTAAAAAAATAATTTAACTTTATTTATCATTCAATTGGTATCTTTATATAAAATTATCATAAAAATATAAAATTAAATTTTATAATATTTTTTATTTTCTCTACATGAGTGCCATATGTTCACCAGATTTTATATATTTTTTAAAGTATATTTCTTTTATTTTTCAACTATTACATGATTTTCATTTGACTCATTTACGTGTTTTTCGATAGCGTTTATAATATTTTTATTAATATAGTAAACAATTATAAATATTATTAAAAAATATTATAAGTAATATTTTTATACTTGTAATTGGTCTGATTGAGGTTAGAAGTTGATTTAGATCGCTTACAATGTTTTCGAACATATGTTTCTATTATGGTAGCAAAAATATTATAATAAATTAATTTTTTTATTTTTATTTAGGTGATATTCTTAAATTATTATAAATATATATTTGAACAATGATATATCAAATGATTTATAATGTGTTTTGATTTTATTTAACTTATTTATAGTATTTTCAAGTAGGCTTTATATTGTTTTTATTATGGTGACCAAAACATTATAACATTATAGTGATCCAAACATTATAAATAATAAAAGATGAACATGTTTTTAAGAGAGAGTTTGGACATTTTTAAATTAGAGATATTATTTGAAACAAATAAAATGAAGATGCTGATTGAGAAATCTTTCTATAAATAAATAAATAAATAAATATATATATATATATATATATATATATATATATATATATATATATATATATATATATATATATATATATATATATATATATATATATCGATCATATTTTATTAATTTAAAATATTTTATTTGAATTCTCTTGTTCTTGGTCGGCTTTTAACCAGTGTGACCTCTTTCGAGGAAAAGGAGTCCACCGAGTCTGCTTCCATTCACCGGTTCTTCCGCAAAGCATCTCCTTTCCCTCGATTCCTTCCTGTTCTCCCGCAGAAAGATTTCCGACCCCCTCCTAGGTCTCTCGTTCTCGTTATGGATAAGGAGTACGACGTCATCGTCCTAGGGACTGGGCTCAAGGAATGCATCCTCAGCGGCCTGCCGTCCGTCGATGGCCTCAAGGTTTTCTCTTGCCACGCCCTTCTGTTGGCCTCTTTTTGTTATAGTCCTTCCCGTTTTGCGCTTGGCGCGATTTGCTGCTTTTGATTTGAAGTTCGCTCATCGACTTGCTTAGAGGCTGTTTTGCGACAACATTTCGTTTTCGACCTGCGTGCCGAGTTTTTGAAGTCTTATTCTTTGTACTTGTTTCGATTTTAATATGGCATATATCACGATTGTTCATGAAAGGCCGCATTTTGGTCTGTCGTACCGATTGGTTGTCCTTGTTACGATCGTGATTCACATGATTTTAATTCAAGATCTAGAAATGGATGAAAGCTTGTTGAGTTTTTGACGTGTTTCCTCTTTGAGTAGGAATGTGATTTCAATTAGTCGTTGGTTTAGTAGAGTTTATGCCTTTATGAATTAGAACTAGTTTTAGGACCTGTCTAGATACTTATGTGATGATCACTGGAGATGTTATTATGAGTATTAGTGGAAATATTTTTAAATTTGCACATGCAATATGCTGTAAATCTGCATTTCAGTTGTTCTCTAATGAGTTTCTTTTGCTTGCCAAAATGTTTCGGGTCCTACACATGGACAGGAATGATTACTATAGAGGAGAGTCAACCTCACTCAATCTCATCCAGGCAAGAAACATAAACAGAGAACAATCCATTGTGCATGTGTGTTTTGCTTGCTTGTGAGTGGACATGCTATTTGTTCTATGGGTTCCCACTACACTTCCTCATGACAAATATATTAGCATAACAACACTGTATTAGGCCTTAGTATTGTCATGTCAATCAACATGTGTTTGCATGGGTTGAAATGTGTCATAGCATTTAGTGATCATGCCATGCCAAGCCAAGTTGGAGTGCCATTTTATGGCTAGATGAAAATTTATCCTATGCTGACCAGCACATGGTGGTGCTGATTGGCATGGTATAAAAATGTGCCATGGCAGAAATGTATTGGCATGTCCCATGCCACATGGCAATCCTTGGTTATTCCAACCATTATAAGTCAAGTGTTAGGAAAACCATAAAACTGTCATTACTTTTGCCTCATTACTTTTGCCCTTGAGAGATGAAGGGAAAAGAGATCAGATTAGCTTTTGACAGTGTACTTCTACAGTCTTTGATTTCTTGGTCTTTTTTATTTTGTAGGAGCAATACAGTGTGAATAAACTAAAGAATTTTTGTGGCTCTTCATTACAGTTCCACTTAACAAAACTTGTTTACAACTGCTCTAATATTTATGCTCATCCGTCAATTCATTATTTTTTTCCTTGAGAAATGAATGGAAATTTGACTAGATCAAAATATTATTTTTCATCTTTGTTCTGAAACATGTTACATTTTTTTTCAAGTTCAAGTGAGCAATATTGTCATACTGAACTTCCTTTATCATCCTATTCAAGCTTACACATAATCTTTTGCACAGCTCTGGAAAAGGTTTAGGGGCAGTGATAAGCCCCCCAGCACTTTTGGGTTCCAGCAGAGAGTACAATGTTGACATGATTCCAAAGGTTTGTTCATCTTCTTCTCATTCAACTCTCGATATGTAAAATCACTGTAGTATGTTTACTCTGTATGAGTGAATACTATTTTCTTAAATTATTTGACTCAATAGAACTAGTCATAACATTCACAAAGTGATTGATCATCATCAAAAAGAGATGAGCAGTTTGTGCTATTTGTAGAGCATTTGATTTTGTTAGTTGATGTTATTGCTATGTTTTTTTCTTTTTTGGTGGAATTATCCAAAACTAGATCAAAATATCATAAGCAGGTATTTCATGAGATTTACATCAAGGTTTGATGTTCAAACTTGTCACCTTGACAAGCTATTTTATTAAATTAAATAGAAGGGTGCTGAGGATACTAGACTGAACATATTACATACTTTAATTTCTAACTAATGATATTGTTATAAGGAGATGAATTAAAGCTTATCATTTCTCATAAAGAAAAGCTGGCACACTATATTTTACTATAAACAAAAGTAAAAATACACTGAAATATAGCTTTCATGTCTGACACTGTTGAATCAGAGATATGATCCCGATTGGCTAAATCTCAGTACAAATGCTATGTGATATTAACTTGATATAAAAATACTCTTGCAGGTCAGTGTAAAAAGAATGTTGTTTTTTTAAAATATTAAACAGAATAATGTTGATTTTATTAGTAACAATCCATGAAGTGAATTCAGGATTGAAGAGTTTGCATTTAGTTCATTGTGAAAATTTTGCATTTTGAAGTTTGACCTACTTATATAAGTACCAAAGTTTTTTGGATAGATTATAAATCAATTAAAAATAAATTATTCAGTGCTTTCTATTTAATGAATACACTAATGGCCTTTACTCATTTGTGTCTGGTTTTTAAGTTAGTTAAAAAAACAAAATCTGGAAAAGATAAAGTTCTGAATTGTTAGAAACCTGTGCTTAACAGAACATTTCAATTTAGTTTGAAAACAATGGGGACTGATTCGCGTCAAAGTGATGAATTGTTAACTGGTCACTATTTCTGATTCTCTGAAGGAAATTGATTTGCAGTTCTAGCTTGTAATTCTTTCAGCTATGAGGCAAATAATAAATGAAAGGATTCTTTGGTTCCTGATCCTGATAGTTTTTGCAATTAAATTTTTGCCACTGCCTTTCCCTTTTATCTTATCTGGTCAAACCTTCATCTGCAGAGCTGGCCTTCTCTGCCAACGAAACAGGATCTGTAATCATCCTTGTAACTGAAAGATTGATGATATGGTTATATATTTTCTTCAGCTTTTTATCAATTTTTTTATAAATGAAAAACTGTATTTGAGCAGGAAATAGTTTTTAGGCAATTTAAGGGGAACATCATTCTTTTTATTTCTGTTGATGCTCAAAACATTTTTGTTGAGTTCTGAGATAGAATAACTGCTTATGCATTAAGTTGTTACAAAAAGGAAAATTTGTCTATTTTTTGCAAAACCTAACATTGTCACAATGTCCTTGTGTTTTAACAGGTATCTTTTCTGCTGTTCTTATTCCCACAATGTTGTCCCAAAATGGAAGTTCATTGCTTTTGTCTCAACTGAAGCTGAGACTGACCATCCAGATATAGAACTAAAGGCAGGAATTGATCTTCTGGGACGAGTAGATGAATTATTTTTTGATACTTATGACGGATATGAACCAGTCAACGACCCTTCACTTGATAATTGCTTCATTTCAACTGTAAGTCTCACTGATATTATATGTAGTTACAATTACCAAAAAAATAATATATTTTATGCTCATTTTTCTAGAAGAACATTGACAATTCTACTATCTGGCAGAGCTATGATGCTACAACTCATTTTGAATCAACTGTTGTGGATGTTCTTTCTATGTATACCAAGATCACTGGAAGGGTAACATCTTTTTTGTGCTTTTCAATCCGACTTCCCTTGACATTCTCCTTTTTTCATCCATTGTAAAAATATCCATGTATCAAGTTAGGCAGTCACTATTTATATTTTTAGTGTACTACCTCTGTGTATGGCACTTTCCAACTCTCGGCAATCTAAAATATATTTACAACTTGCATACTTGATCATTTTGACTTTTTCATTCTGAGGTGAACTTCTAGGACCAAGTAGTCAATCTAGAATCTGGTTCCCACATTACCATACTTAATGATACCTTCTCGGGTTATTTTGGGATTCGACACTTAGGAGGTATATGGCTACTGCCTGGTTCAAGTTTTGATTTTATGCTGGTTAGCTCTTGTTGTTTGTGGCATTTTACATCTGTTTGTCCATGTTATATAAGACTATAAGTTATGGCAATAATGTATCTAGCAGACAGTATTATTGCCATTTTGTATTCAACCTCCTTTATTATGGCCTTATTCCTTATATTCTCCTGTTAAGTATTACATTTTTCACCAAATTTATTTTTCGTGAGCAATGATTCTTTTTTTCCCTAACATGATAAATTGCTGGTAGGATGTTTGTGGCTCGATCCTTTTCCTTATTATCTGCTTCTTGTTAACTAAAATTCTGTCACTAGAGTTTTTATGGACTAGGCCGACAAGAACAACTTGAGCAACCCAAGCCATTAGTATTGGAGAGGGAGAGAGATCAAATATTTACCAATCCGATCGTGAATCATAGCCTCCATCAGTAGGGATTACTATGGGCTTAAACCTGCTGCTTAACATCATTCCATTGTTTTAAAAGGTCTCTTTGCTGACATTTTCAGCCAAGGGAGTCTCATTTTAAGCCTCTATAGCCTTATTTCAAGCTTTTATGCTATCTCCTGCACTCTTCATTTCATTACAAGATCAAAGCTTGAGAAACCCTATAAGTTTTAGTTCAAATTGATAATATCATTTCATTTTTGTTAGTTTGCAATGCTACACGATTTGCTACCAGGATGATCCACTGCTCGATGAGGTAAGAGGTTCACTGTATCCATCAAATTTCATTTTATAATGCATTGCAAAAGTGGATCAGAATGTGGAATTTTGGATTATCAGCATCATAGCTCCCTTTCCCGCCTCTACTAGGTGTAGCAACATATTATGTTGCAATATGTAGTTTACCTATTGATTAGCTTCTATCATGTATTGACAATGTTGACTAATATCATATATTGAGAGCAATACTATTCCTGGGTTCCATAAATTGATGCTATTGATCTCTAGACACTGGCACTTCCTGAGGCATCACATATCATGCATTGTAATATCTACCAATATTATATGCTGAAGGAGCAATATTCACCATAACCGCCTCCTAAGGCACCGCAAATTAGGTTTTGGTATCAGTAGGGGGAGGATGATGCATCTTCTACTCAACTTGTGAATATCAAAGTTTTTATTCTCGGTCTCAAACTCTCATGTATGATTGAACTTGTATGCTAACTTTAGAATTTTTATGTTTTACATATGTTCTTTTCCTGGTATGTTTATTAATAGGTCATGGGTAAATGTAAAAGGTCACATACTTATACTCACCAAAACACGGTCCAATCGTCCAACCACCAACTGGTTAATATCAGACGGTTGTCCGAATCATAGAATGTGGGTGATGTCAGAGTTGATTCCAAAAACTTCATCCAAGGTTGAATCCATGAGTATTTGTTGCAAGGATTGGTCAGAGGTCAGGCCACACTGTAGCAATTCCTCATATTTACAAATTTTTTGATGTTGTATACTTTTTTCTTATATCGAGATTTCCTTGTAGAGCTCAATTGTATGGTTTTTTTGGTGCAACATCAATTCCTGAAGTGATAAGTGCAGGGTTTTGTATTATGGAAAATTATAGAAACATTGTACAATGTCCTAAATGTTCTTTTCTTTTTACAGACTTTTGATCTCAGCATAGATCTAAGTGCTGCTGAAGAATGATGACTGCATCCAGGGTATATGACAGGAAAGTTCTCATCTCAGTATTTTTCATCATATGATCATATCAATATAGCATTCTATTTGAAGCTGAATGGATCTGCAATGATGATATGTGCTTCTTGAATATATTCTCCCTGAACATAGCATAGCTATTAAGTTAACATTGTACATTAAGATTCATTGTTTTTGATGGGTTTCACTGTTGTCAAGGTTGTATCAGAGATGGATTATGCTATAGAAGAATGATGTTTCTCTCCTGTGTTCGTTGCATTCTTTGTCCACTCTTTTGTTTCATTGGTCAAAACAAACCTGTTGCTTAAAGAGAATCATGCTTCAGAGTTGTGTTGGATGCTGTGGATATCATGCTTTTTTTTTTGTCTCATGCATAGCAGAGGATAAATTGCTTTCTAAGTTAGACTATTGAAGTGCATGCACCAAATCATCTTACATTGAACACTCATATCATGGTTTCTAAGCTTGTATATAGTTTCCAGATTCAGAAACCACAAATGCATCACCTTTGGATTTTATAATTCTTTTTAACTGGAATTTTCATTACATTAAATTGCATATTAGATTGCTCCCATGGATTCAAATATGAGATTTATCACCAGGATGTCTCAGAAAGAAACACCTTGGGATTCCATTTTGATGTCAAGTGTGCATAGGTACATCATTTAGGAGGATAGATGCCATCAACCTCAAGTATTTTTCTGCTTCACCCTAAAATAGCAACTGCTTTTAGGTAGAGAAAAGAACCTCGTAGTTGTCATTTTATACTGGATTTTCTGGTAAATTTGCATATATATATATATATATATATATATATATATATATATATATATATATATATATATATGTGTGTGTGTGTGTGTGTGTGTGTGTGTGTGTGTAAATTTTTGAAACAATCCTCTATCTTTGATAAATTTTTGTAAAGCTTCTCAATTTTCAGAAATTTTTATAGAGTATTTTTTTAATATAAATGATCATTTTACCTTGAACCCTTATCAGATCTCTATCTTACACCCTTGTCATATGTTGCCTTCACTGTTGTGTCCCCTCCTTTTTGCTTTAGCTTTTACCCTTTGGTCTCTATTGGACCCGTCACTTCTGCCTTTATACAGTGAGTAATGACGGTGACCTCGTTGGACCTTTTCTTGCGGGCGAGGATGGCGAGGGTTGCCATTGCCTTTGCGGATCTCGTTGGACCCTCTCTTGTGTACGAGGGCTATTGTTGTTGCATCCTCTCCTTCCTCGTGTGAGGGCAACAAGGACTTCTCTCTTTCCTTACATGAGGCTATTGTCTTCGTAAGGATAGTATAAGACGGAAGCAAATACAGATCCGATGGACATAAGAGTAAATTAATTTTTTCACATAACAAAGGGATGTTTTGTGGGATTTCTCAAAGGTGAATTTTTTTTCAAGAATTTATCATGTATATATATATAATTTAAAATTTTAAGAAATATTATTAAAATTTGGAGAGGCAAATCTGTTATTTCTGAACGATGAAAGGATGGATATGTAGAAAAAAAAAAAAGCTAAAAATGCCTTGTACCACAGAGAGGTCTAGGAGGACAAGGCTAACCACATGCTGGACCCCACAGAGGTCTAGGAAGACAAGGCTGGTAGCTGAGCCGGGTTACGAGCGCTACGTACCAGCTGTTTCTAACCGCGTCACTTGCCACCGTGGGCAGGACGTGGTCCCGACCTGAATAGTTACCGTGTAGCGCTCGGGTCCCATGTGGGCTCGCTGCTTGTTCCAGTGACAATGAAGGTAAACGAGCAAACGGTACCAAAAATATATTTGCTCCACCGAAGCAATATTATATATTCCTACTCGTTTGACCGTTACCCGGCGACTTACCTGCTTTACCATTGATGACGTACTACGCCACCTCGTGATCTAGCGAGATCGGTCCCCACTTAGTAAAGAGGCACTATCTATTATTATTATTATTATTTGGGATGAAATAGCATAGCCAAATTGGACGAATCGGAGTCGATACGGAATCGGACGCCAAATCCCATTCCAAACAATAATATAATTTATATTAATATTAAAATCCATAACTCGAAATAAAACCCTCTCGCTCGTGATTGAGCGGGGATTTGAATCCCGCCCACCGCTCGAAGTCTTCAACCCTAATCCAATCTCTGCCCCCGATGAATCCAAGGCCCTAGCCTCTTCCCCCTCCCTCGACCCCGTTCTCCGTCGTCTTCGAGGCCGGGTCCTGCTCGATTCCCTTCCTCCGGGCTTGTAGTCGTGCCGAGCGATGGACGCGGGCGGAGGGCCTTTTCGCACCGCCGAGGATGTCTTCCGCGACTTCAGAGGTCGAAGAGCTGGCATGATCAAGGCGCTCACGACTGGTGTCTAATCGCAATATTGTTTTTTTGCTTTCACTGATTTGCTTGAGTCGTTGTTGTGGCTTCTCGATTTTGACGTGTTATCTTGCTTCTGGCGGTGATGCAGATGTCGAGAAGTTCTATCAGCAGTGCGATCCAGGTAAAAGGTTTTACCTCTTTCTTGGTGTTCCTCTCTTTGCTTAGGCGACGCCTGTGGGTAGTATGTTCTTTTAGTTCCACAGTTTTCTCCTCGCGTTTATTAGATATTTTGCTGATGGATTATCAACGGAATCTTATTTTGGTTTTCTATTTTGGTCTTTGGCTATTGGGAGTGTGTCCTTGTCTTGCAATGTGTCTCCTGTAATCCGTGAAAGCTACTTCTCATTCAAACCGTAGTTTCTTGTGAAAAAATATGTCCAGTAGTCATGTACTAGTTAAATCCTTCCGTTGTATGATGGAAAATTCCAACTTTGACCAGAAATTTATTATGTTTGGGAACGCTACATTTATGAATCAGGTTAGGGTAGTGGTTGGGTGCTGGAATTAGCTTGAGGTTTGCAGGATTGCTTGGGTCTGATTATGAACCGAGTCTCTAATTCTTGACCACCCTTCTCTTTGTTATGCATGCAGAAGCATGTAAACTCAATGCAATCTCTCTCTGCCACTATTTTTCTAGATAGCTAGTTGGGTTATTATCTGTGACAACATACATGTGGCAAGCAATGAGGACCAGGCATGATGTTTCCCTCTTCCTTCTTTTTTCCTTCATTCCTTTTCACCTTCTCCTTCTCTTTTTTCTTTCTTTTCTCATTTGTAAATCTCGTAGTCAGAGGATAAGATCTCATTACATGTGATTAAATTTGCTTGTTGTCGTTTTGGGGGGTTGGGGTGGGTGATTGATAAATTAACTAGATCAAAGTTGGAGGCAGCTCATGCAGAACACTGAATATATGTGGTTTGGATCCATCAGATTTGAAAATTCTAGTGATTCTTAATGGTGATGCTGATTTTCTGTCATTGTGACAGAGCACAAGAGATGGAAAGACATTGTATATTGTATATTGTTCCCTAAAGAAAGCTGATGCAGCTTGAGAACTCTTTTGTGAACCAGGGGGAGGAAATGTTTCAAATTGTAGATTGATCTGCATATCTGAGGCTTCTGTGGGTCTTAAAGTGAATAGGTGCAACTAAATTTGTTTTACTGTGCAGCTGCTAAGATCTATCTTGTTTAGGTCAGATTTGATGCCGAAAAGCTTTGCAGCTTGTAACTGTATTATAGCAGTTCTTCAGGATTTTGTTTTGTGGTACTAGATTTCAGCAACTAACACAAGTAGTTGTTTGAGTAGTAAGAGAGATAAAAAAGGGGTGGAGGTAGGAGGGAAGCCAATGCTCGACTAGAGATGAGGAACAGGAGAAAATGAAGATAGATGCCCATTATCGATAGATACTAACCTTAGTATTTTTTCCATATAAACTTATTACTAAGGAGGCCAATGCTTCCATTTATTACTTGCTTGCATGTGACCTAAGTTAGCAAAAAATGGATAGAATTCTTGTTCAAATCTAATTTTATTAAATACTATCTATTAAGAACCATATATATTCTTAGATTAGTCCTACCTTCATGGATTTAAACATCTAGTTACTTAGACACCTAACCAAAATAATACCAAATTGATCCAAATCATATAAAACCAATGAAGTCATCGAGTGCTCACTTAGGTGCTTGGGCAAGACGAGGTGAGGGTCGAGTGCTTGGTAACTGGTCCAGGCAAGGCGCCTTCAATTGAGCATCGCCTTGGCACATGTTTGTGCCCTATCGTCGGGCGGTTGAGGTGCTCGCCTCAACCAAATTCTGTTGAGTCGAATCTGAACTATGCCTAATTGGTTGTGGTTTGTTGATTTTGGTTCAATCGAACCATATAGGCGTGAGCCCAATTCCTTCCCTCGCTCCTCCCCCCTCGCACACAAGAATCCTTATTTCTCCCCCTAGAAAACCTAATCGATGGCGTTGTCTTCCTCTCTAATGGCGAGAGGCTTCTGTGCGGAGGGATAGTCGACTCCACTCTCTATCGAAGTCTCTTTTCTTCTCATGGTAACTCTTTCTTTCTCTCTCCCCCCCCTCCCATTATCGTTTCTTCTCTTGTGTCATCAGCCCCTCCCTCTTCCTGTCAAGCCTCCCCGAATCCCGACAACCCCCCTCTCCCTCCTCCTTTGCCTCCTCTCCAGATAGCTCCCCACTCGTTGTCCTCACCGTCTCCTCCACCATCACCTGTTCCCTCTCCCCGCCGAGCGAACCTGGACTCCAACAGCCCTCCTCTTCCTCGTCCGATTGCTCCCCTCTTGTTGTCCTCGCCTTCTCCTCGGCCACAACAATTCTAGATAGAGTCAAGGTTAATATAGAGGGAGGGATATATTTTTTTTTGAAAAATGTACTGGGAATTCTGTCATGTTTTTTGATGATTTGTTAGGGTTCTGGTAGTTCCGGTTTTGTTTTGGCCAATACAAGTCATTCAAATGCTAAAAACATACATGGGGCTGATATTCAAAATTTGGGAAATTTTAAGCTTATATCAGGCAAATTGACCATATGGAAATATCAGGAGCTAGTTGGGATCCCATTTTGGAGCACTTTAATTTGTGATTCGGACTCAGTTTTTATCAATCCTCTCTATTGGAGTGAGCTTTGGGTAGCATCTCAGACATTATTCTCAAGGTACATAGAATAAAAAGATCTAGCCAAAAAGATCAAAAGAAAGACCCACATCCGGAAGATGTAATTTTGAAATTGTCATTAATGATCCACTCTTCAAGAAGCTGAGATATGTTTTATGAGGTTGATGCTTGATTGATTAGCTCAACATGAAGCCTGATTTTATCTTATAGTCAAACAGCAACCTCTCATGATAAATCCTCA